GTCCAGGCCATGAGGGAAGTACGATGCAGCAGATATACTTGCTAAAAAAAGGAGCCTCGGAACAACTTAAGCCCAAATGGGACAAGACAGGCATGAGACAAGCAAAAATACTACTCGCAAAAATAACCCAATGGGAGAAAGAAGAAATTTTACAGAATGGTTCCTGGACCTATGGGCATTTTAGACTACCCGATTTTCGCATTGCAGGCCGTATAAACATTCATATGCATTGTAAGTAAGGAGGTAAGGAGGATAAGTGTAGAAAGTGCTTGAGCTAGGATGGATTGAAAACTTGCCGAGGTTTTGGAAGGAGTTATCGTATCAGTCCGTTAACAAAAGGAATGTTGAGGTTATTGGGGATAACGAGGTTAGTGACATAGTAGACAGTTTTGATAAATAGGACTTACTTTGAGCAAAATGGCTCACATGGGCACAATAAACAGCTCGTAGGGTGCCCTATTTGTGCCTTTGAAATAAATAAAATAAAAATAATTAAAGTGCCAAGCCTTAGACAGCTCATTTAGGAACTGTCTAAAAACCCTAAAAAGCTAGAATCTTCAAATAGCTTGACGCTGAGGTGGGTCCCAAGCCATGAGGTTCTTTAAGGCAACAAGGCATTCTTCCTAAAAAAGGAACAACACATAAGCCAAAGTCCATTTGGTGATATACAAGAACTGGGATCTTGGGTAAATAAAAAACATAAAAACTACTGGGAAAAAGCTGGCATGAGACAAGCATTAGCGTAAGGGCGTTATTGTTTTGTTTATATAAGATATTACATATTTTGTTTGTGAAAGAAATTTTTATTTGTATTATAATATTATTTTAATATTATTCCTATTTGTATTATAATATTATCATTACCCTATCCATTGTCTCTGCATCAGCCTGACACGACTAATGTCAAAAATTAATCCTGATTTTCTTTTGTGGCTGAAGTTTAATTAAATTCCATTTTTTTTTTTTATTTGCAGTGGCTATTTAGGTAATCCTAACCTTTCATTGAGAATTTGAATTACGTGACTACTCCGTTGAGAGGCATAAAAACCTCGCTAAAACTAAAAATATAGTCAGATGGGCTGACGTCAGGGTTATAAGCAGGGCAAGACGCTGACGCGTTTACATTTCTTGTCATACTGTTTTTTTGTTTTGTTTTTAGCACTACCCATTTCAATGTTAATAGATCTGCCATCTGGGATATAGTCACAGGTTCTGCCAAACTTGGTAAGCATGAATACTTTTAATCCTCTTTGTACACACTGTTGATTTGTTTACTTACTGCCATTTTTTGTTCATTTAAACTGGTTATAGTTTTGATAGAGAAACATGGTTGCTGGATACACACGCGATTTGCCTTGGACCTTTCGGCAATGCGCGATCTTATCCGGTTACCAAAATCGTCCAAAATGCTGAATTACGATGACATCAAAAGCTCCGAATCGGACAATCGAAACATGTCTTTCATTGCAATAATTCATAGATAATACTCACTGATTCATTGGTAAGTTATGTAACGAGGAGGAAGAAACAGCCACCCATGTCACCTTCGAATGCGAAGTAACCGCTCAATGGAGACTTAACCTGGGATGCAAAGAAAACTAAAGAAAAGAATTTGCAGCAACGACAGTCAATGAACTCATACTTTTTAAGAGAAGGATCGCGTCAATTTATCTTAACTAAAGAACAATAAGCCAGAAGTCTGTTGTGCTTAGGGAACATAAAAACCCCATTTCGTAGTATTCATCATCATCATTATCATGCGAGTGAGAAGGGAACTTGTCACAGCGAACTATGCGCAGCATGATTCTTGGATGTAGTCCGTCCGTTCATAGGATTTTTGACAAATACAGATTTTTTTTTTTAAATGGTCATACTTCGGATGGAGAAGCATGATTGCAGCATACGGTTTACCTTGAACCTTTGGCCAATTCACGATCTTTTCCGGGCAACTAAATCGTCCAACATGGAGAATTAAGATGACATCTTAACCTCCGACTTTGGCCTGACCAATCGAAACCTTTATGAAGGTGTGTATGGACACGTACAGGAAATCCTCAAATCGTGATTTTCTTGGGGATTTCCTCTACCGAATCCACGCACATACACGAAGAGGATTTTCCTCAAGGAAATCAAGAAAATTTGTTTCAAGAAAAAAACGCTCGGCCGACTATTAAAAAAAGGAAAAAAAGTGCTGCATAGGGCTATCGTGAAAATAAAAATACCGACGGTATTGTGGTTGAAATCGATCATCTCTGGTCCGTCTGCCCAGCCGGTGTGCCGAAGGACCTTTCCCCCTCTGGTTATGGTGCGGAGAGAATCAATTCCGATCAAAATATCTTACTTCATCTGTTCACGGCGTCCTCAGGTGTGCTTGAATATTCCGAGAAATTACACCAACACGTGTACACAATGACCGTGGAAAGTAGAAACTACCGTGGACGGCATCTCAAAACACACCGACGACCATTATTCCCTCCCAACACCGCGACAATTATCTTTCCTCCCTGTAATTGGACCACCTACGAAGTCCCAGGGCTTCTTCGTTTTACTAAATTCATCGACCGTAAACGCAACCCGATTTGAATCGACAATGTACCCTATTTCCACGAACATTTTCTATTCTAAGTTAAAGGATAAACAAAGTGCAATTTGCCATTGCATGCGCTAATTTTTCTTATATTCTATATAATTTAATACACACGCACGTATACGAGGGAGCCAGAGGAGAATCTGCAAGATCATAGGCTCCGAATCTATTCTTGGGATAGCATAAACAGAAATAGAATTTTCACCACGGAATGAATCCAAAAAAGACGAAAGGAGAAGTGGAAACTCTACAAATGTTAAACACAGTAAGCTTATATTAAAACAACCCTCACCAAGACTAGAAAATTCACTTCTACGGTTAAAAAGGTCTAATCCAGAAGATTGACAGGACCTTATACCGGTCACTGGAATCAGAGAAAACACCTACATAACATGAGTATATTCAATGTTGACCAATTTGTACGTTATGCAATGAGGAGGAAGAAAGTCAACCATGTCATCTTCGAAAACGAAGCAACTGCTCAATGGATACATAACCTGGGATACAAAGAAAACCCAGGGAAAGGAATCGTAGCAACGACAGTTAAGGACCTAGTACTTCTTAGAAAAGGATCAAGTCGATTGCACTGAACTAGGAAAGTATAATAAGCCAGAATGCAACAGTGCTTGGGGAACAAAACCCAAACTTCCAGATAATATCCATCAACATCATCATCATCATGCGAGCGAGATTGGAATTTTTCTTTACTACGGACAACATGCTTCGTAATACTTGGGTGTAGTCCGACTCTTACCACTGAAGAAGAAATCTATCCTTTTAAAAAGATAGTTCCTACTCACAGTAAGTTGTTTTCCAACAATACGGATATCGAGCTTTTAGCTCATCATCAGGTTGAAGGAGTTCTACAACCACGTCTCTCGACGATTGCAATCGAATTGCAAAAGTGAACCCGCCCGAAGAAATCTATGGTCAAAAAGTCAACTTTGTATGGTTGTATAACTGGGGACTTTATTTTGTCTTGTTTTATATAAAACACTATTTTATTCACTTGCAGGAGGTAAAATTGCAAGGCAGTCCCCTCTCTGTAATTAAAATTATCCTAAAAACCCAAATCCAGGCTTATACCAGTATCAGCCTCCTTCCTGCCCTTCATAAAATCATCACAGGGTTGGTTTTCGATCATTTTATTCCAATATACAGCATACATTATGAAGAATTCATTTTTGGCAGAACCAGTTCGGGTGTCTTTCTCTATGTGGCTCAATCGTTCGACCGGGTATGGCACCGTGGTTTGCTGTCGAAGCTCAAGTTTCTTTGCACATAACTTTTAATACTTAAATCCTATCTGACAGACTGGCATAGACTGTTTTTTTTCTTCTTGTATTCCCATTAAACTGGTATCCACCAGGCCCTTCCTATTCACAATAAACACAACCTACATTTTCTTTCTTCGTAATACGTTTTTTGCTGAGGACAGGTAACAAACTGACGCTAGAAATTACTGCTTAGGTTGCTTGACCATAGATCTAACCTCACTATCAAACCCTATTTTTCATAGATTCCTAAAATCCAATCAGCCCAATCAAAAATATTATGAAAAATACTAAACTTTTCGTTCTCCGCTTTAAACCAAACAATCCACACTGATCCCGGTGGCATGGTATCCTGGTTTGCTGTGGAAGCGCAAGGGCTTATTTTTTTAATACCTTAAAATAATTAAAATCTAACTGACTGAATGCTACTGCCGAATGTATAAAGGGGGTTTCCTTTTCTTCTTTATTCCCATTAAAACGGGTGTCTCCAGGGCAGCATCCTAAGGCCATTCCTATTCATAATATATACAACGAATATTTTCATCCTACATTATACGCTCTTTTGCTGACGACAGGAAACAAACGCTAGAAATTGCACCTTACTTTACTTGACCATAGATCTAACTCAACCTCACTATCAAACCCTTTTTTTCATAGATTCACATAAAATCCAATCCGCACAATAAAAATACTACGAAAAATATTAAACCTCTTTTCTTCGCTTTAAAATAAACAATTCATAATAACTTCCAAATCCCATTTTATTTATATATTTTTCGTTTTTCTATTTATAGTTAAGATATGTAAAACCTTGATTATGTATTTGAAAATCGCAAAGGCAACATTAAAAACGTCAGGGTTTTGTTAATCCTGTTTTCTTTCAATTTCCTTGTTTCACTTAATCCTCTTATTAAAAACGAACGAATCGATGATAAAATATCGTTAATGTAGTCCGCCTTATCTCTTTTCTATAAATAAATAGTGCAGAAATTATCACATAATTCTTACAAAGTGATATTAACGGGGTTTTTTTTTCAATATTTACCCAAGAAAAAATAAAATCTTTTCCCATGATCCCCACTTCTATAATTAATTATAAATTAACAAAAAAAACTGTAATACATTATGTATTTACGTACATTTTAAATTTCCTCACGGTGTTTTGGAATCGTCCGACCATCTACTGTCATCGTCGGCAGCCAATCTCTGCAAAACAAGATAGCATGGTTTATTATCAGATAAATAAAAAGTTTTAAAAAAAATCTTAAGAGATTAAGAGTCAAACATCAAAGATGGATACTTTAGATGGATAGTTCTGCTTTGTAATTACTAATGGATTAAGGTTCGACTGTTCTAAAAGTAGGATTTAATCATTCTTTCAAAGGTAGAATTACTATCCATCCTCAAAAGGTCGTTCTGCCAATGACCTATATTTAGTTTCTTAATATAGGCCTGGCCCTGTTAAAACAAGCACGTCTTATTTACCAGCACACACTAGCGATATTTATCGAAATTTTTCATTAAACGGGGGATAAAATAACGGTTGCGGGGTTTAAAATTAGAAGAAAATCCTGTAAAGGACAAAACCAATCTACCGCCGCGATATTCAAGTTCGTGAATCGAATCACCTCTTAATGAGCACGGGTACGAATGGTCTCGCTTTGAATGCCACGAGGAACAAAGCCGAGATTTGATAAGAAACGTTGCACATTTTTCTCTAGTCGATCTCGTTGAACCAATCTCTATTATATTGTTACAATACAAATTTTGTATATTTCTCAAGTGTTCTAGTCTAAATCCAAAAAAATCGCCGATGGAGTGCCAAGAATGCAGCATTTTTCAGTAGAAGGTCGATCTTTGATCTTTGAAACTGGTTGAAATGGGCCTGCAAATAGTTATAGATCATCGGCCAAAATTGTTGGGATTCAAACGCCAAAACCCAGTACCTAGAAACACGCGATTTGTCTAGTGCTGAGGGAAAGAGCGTGTCAACAAAAACAAATTTACTATATAATCCAGAATATTGAATCAATCCAGATTTTCCAATGTAAACAAAGCAAGCGATGGAAACTGGGTCGATTTGCAAAACCATAAGTCAAAGGTACCCATGGGATGACAAAAACAAACATAGAATTCTCCATCTCAGCGTGGATCCAAAAACGACAAAATTAAAAATGGATAAACTTTAGAGGCGAAGACAGAATTAGCTTATGTTAAAACAAGGCTCACCAAGACGGGCAAGCTCCCTGCTACAGTTAGAAAAGGCTACACTCAGAAGAGTGAGTGATAGGACCTTATACCGGTCACTGGCATCAGAGAAAACATCGAAACATGGTTATATTCAATGTTGACCATATTTGTACGTTATGCAATGAGGAGGAAGAAACAGCCAACCGTCATCTTATTATATGAAGAAACTGCTCAATCGATACATAACCTGGGATAAAAAGAAACCCCAGGGAAAGGAATTGTAGCAACGGCAGTCGTCAATGACGTTATACTTCTTAATCGAAGAATCCAATCCATTAGGATGCTTTGTAGTTTGGTAATATGTGTTACTACTCTGAGCTTGTAATCAGTGAAATATTTTTTTCTTTGTTCCAAGAGAACTGAAACACCATCAGCAAGAAGACAGCATGAGGATCTCCTTTGACGAAGTTCACCTTCATGCGTCTCCCTGCGTATACCCTAACATCGCACAAGTCCCGATTATTGTGTTTTGCAGTCAAATAGTTTTGGGAAGGTCGTAATTAAGAAAACTAAGATGGTGGTACGGTTTTTTGCGCTTCGAAACTGTAGAAGCTAAAATAGCACAATGCTGTATGAAAAATAGACAAAATTCAGTGATCATAGAGCTTAAATAATCGAATAGTTTAGAATCTAACAGTACCGAACATCCACCATAATATAAACAGTGATGAAGTATGCCCAGTTAAATTTTTAGGACCCTGCCATGATTTGACCCATTGTCGGAGTATCAACATTTTAAATGAGACAGATCATTTGTGCTTTGGAATCGTTTTTGAACTAATTTCCCCGGTGAAATGGTGACATCCAGGGTTTTCATTGATTTACTTAATAGCAAAGTTCTAATACGGTTCGGTTCAGGCAATTTATGTTAAAAAATACAAGGATATTATGCGGGGTTATTAGATTATTCAGAAGTCACCGAGCAAGTAACAGTTTACGGATGAACCTGTATACATTTATAAATCGTGATTAGATCTTTTAAATTTGAAGCCCTTCAACTAAGCTGCATTGTTTGGTAAATTTTCTTTTTGAACATGTCCAAAGAAGAAACCTAAATTCTTCAGGTGACAGATGACAACATTGTCGTAAAGAATTATAAAAACTGTACTTGTAGGTGTACCTGCAATATTGTTTCTTCGAATTTATACAAGATTTCAATGAAATTGCACTTACTACATCGCCCCCGACTGTTAAAATTACTTTGCGCTGTGATCTGGATTTTGCTCCATGATCCGGGATTTTCGCCAGCCCGCTGAAATTACATACATTTAAAATTCCACTGTAGAATTTTTCTGCACGTCACCTGACAGAGAAGATTCGTGAGGAACGCCTGACTTCGTCAAAACGCAACACCGACCATTTCTCTAACGAGATGTACTCGCCTTTCGAAAATCGTTTCCGAAGACCTTGGGCATGATGAAATCGGCAATCGTTCATTGTATAATCACAGTTTTATTATGGATTTCGTCTTTTGAGCCTTAAAACTTTTCCATCATTTCAATGGAATGAACAACAAAAAGGCCATGATCTTTCAGTTGCTCGATTTGGAGGCTCGAGATATGAGAACGTCTGAAAATTATGAGTCATAGGAGCAAAACGATTTGTGATTCACGACGGAACGACCGGGGAACCTGACAGAGGAGAAAAACAAGACAACCACATCCACTAAATCTCTCCGTACCCACATGTCCTTCGTCGGAAAATTGCATTCCAAGGCTCGTTTTGGCAATCGTCGGCGAAAGAAATCAATGTGAAAATAAACTCATCCCATCAAGGATTAGTATTAGTATATAACAGTATACAATAAGCATTAAATGGGAAAACAATATAAAGACAACTGAAAAAGAGCCCCCGTGAACTAATTACACTCTATTTCGATTCCATTGAAGTGAGTTGACAAATAGAGAGAAAAGAGAGAGTAGATAAGAGTAGAGAGAGTGAAAGAAGATAGAAGATATGACTAGGTAGAAAGAAAGAAAGAGAAAGAGAGAGAGAGTGAGAGAGAGAGAGAGAGAGGGAGAGAAAGAAACAAAGAAAGAAAGGAAAAAATAATGAATAGATAATTTCACAGAAAGAGAGGAAATCAATAACATGAAAATATATTTTTAAAAAAGGAAGTGGGCAGGCTAAAAAATTATAATCCATGGTAGTTAATTAATAATAGTAATAGTTAGATCCGGGCTAGGGTTTCCTAATTCACCAATATTACAAAAATATGAATTTAGTTCATTTAAGTTTACGTCATTTAACTTTTAATATTTCGTTATCCTCTTTCCTTAGACCCTGGTGTTTTATAAAATTCCCAAAAGTCTTTTATATTACACAAACTATCAATTTTGGTTTTATAAAAATTAGATTTTACATCTCTAATTTTTATATTTATTTCTTAAAATTTTATATTTATTAAATTTTTCTTCAGTCTTATTTTTCTATATTCTTTAAAATATCGATCTCTTTTCTCTCCTATGTGCTTTTAGATCTTCAGTTAACCAAGGGGCTGGTTTTTTGTCACTTTAACATCTTTGCAAGGAAGATGTTTATTAATTAATCCTAAGAATTTAGTTGTAAATACATTGACTTTATCAATAATGTTCTCTTGTTGAAAAGTTTTTACAAAATATTCTCTAAGAATCATGGCTTTCAGTTTTTGTACATTATCTTCTTTGTACTCTCTTAATAATTCATTATTTTATTTTATTTTTTGAAACAATTTAATTTTAAGCAGCATAAAGTGGCATAATGAGGGGAGGATACTGAGAATTAATAAATAAAGTAAAAGGATAAGAAAAAAGAAAGAGGAAGAGAAAGTAAATAAGAATAGAAAGAGAAATAACAACAAAAACTAATGTAACATAGGGAATGAATGAATTGACGTATAAAAGAGATAGAGAATAGAAAAAGAACGAGAGAAAGAGAAAGAGAAAGAGAGAGAGAGAGAGAGAGGAATGGGAGGAGGGGAAAAGAAAGAGAGTTAAAGGATATGTTGACAAATAAAGAGAACGAACTTTCTCTTTAAAAAAAGGAGAGAGATAAGTAAAAGAAAAAGAGAGAAAGAAAGATGGAGAGAAAGTCAATAAAGGAAAGAGAGAGAGAGAGAGAGAGAGTAAGCGGGAGAGAAAGAAAAAGATATGAAAGACTGAAAAGTTAGAACAAAAGAAAAAGACAAAGAAATGGAAGAGAGAATGAGTGAGAGAGAGAGAGAGAAAGAAACAAAGAAAGAAAGGAAAATATAATGAATAGATAATTTCACAGAAAGAGAGGAAATCAATACAGGAAAATATATTTTTAAAAAAGGAAGTGGGCAGGCTAAAAAATTATTATCCATGGTAGTTAATTAATACTAATTAAGGTAAAAAGGAAGTAGGTGCGTAAAAGGAAGTGTAAAGCTTCGAAAAATTAAAATAGATCCAACCCAGTGGAGGATTAAGGAATAGCTCTGAATCTAGGCCGACCACCATCACGACAAAATGTATATTTTTAAATAAGTTAATTTTGTACAGTATACTTGGATCAATGTGTAAATTAAAGGACAAGGGGATGAAATTGGTTTTTACTCCACTTAGAGTCATATCCATTGTTTTCATACAAGCTTATACACAAATCCAACTTATGTTTATAAATTATGTACACTCGTTGGTCATTGCGTTATCGCTTGGTCACACTTCATTTTCAAAGGGAAACGATTTTTCTAGACACCGAATGTCACAGCCGATACGAAATAATGGCAGTGAGACCGGCAAACAAAATTGTGAAAGGCAGTCGCGGACCTGAGCGAGGGAATCAGTGCATGCAGCACCAACTCAAGCATTTCTTTAACCCAGGCCCGATTGTATTATTCCATATCACTTTCACTTCCCTAAATTTTTACGAAATACAGGTGTCCAAGTCGAAAAACTTAATAATATGCAAATCGTTGTGACAAGGGGCTTTGCAGTACATGCCTTAACAGGAGTGTA